CTGTATGTAAGTCGGAACTGGTGTCCAGATTCAGCCGCTGTTGAAACTGATCAGTTTCAGCAGCGGCTGAATCTTGATGCCAGTTCCGACTTACATACAGATTCAACTTAAGAACAAACCTACAGTCCCTATCTTGTACGTAACCCGGGGACTGCCTGTATATAGTAATTATATTTTACCAGCATATATTTCCAAAGAGCCTATTACTGCTGTGAAGAGCTCTCTACCACATGATTAGCCATATTCTTACTCAGGGGTTGGCTCTATTACCAATCTTTTCCACAAACAAAATGCTTTTGCCCCAAATTACTGATGTTTTCTGCTTTTGTGAGTTGACTCAGGTGGGGCTGTAGGAAAAAGTCCAAGTGAGGATTTCAGTCCAGCTGGTAACCCACCATTTGTAGTGAGCGTGCAGGCTAAGCTACATGTGCAGTTATCGTTAGGAATGTAAAACCTTGTTAGTTAGCCCATTAAACAATATGTTTAACAGCTGACTGATTAAAAGGAGCAGGTTGGGGCCGCCAAGCTAGAGCAAGCCCCTACCCACAGGGGATCCAATTCACTAGAACAATGCATATAGCAGCTTAACTTACTATAGCACAAAGAACCATGGGATGTGCCCCCAGAAATCCTAGCCCCACACAGGTGAATAAAGCATCACTAGCTCATACCCAGGCTAAGCTAATCAATTAATTACACAGGAGCTAGCACAGGTGAAGAATCTACTATACCTTGTATCTCAGTTGCTGGCTGATTCACCTAGATCAGTGGTCACTAACCAGGTGATCCTGACTTGTTTGGTGGGGAGGCAATCAAGTGCTGGCACTTCAGGTGTCCCTCCCCCACTACCATGTTTCTCCTGCACCCTGCCTTGGAGCTGCCGCCTGGAGCCTCATGCTTGCTGTACAAGGCAGGGAGCACTGATGTCAAGGTATCTCCCCTCTGCCCAGTGCTGTACCCCATTTTTAGAGGTGGGGGGCATGCAACAGAGCTCAGGATGGAGGAAGCTTGCTGGCAGCTGCTCCCATGTCTGAATGTGTTCAGCATACTTAAAGGGGCAAAGAAATCTGTCACCCTCACACAGTGTCTTTGTCACTTACACAAATATTATCTTTCACACTCACATCCAGATTAAAAGCAGTAACACCAACACCACAAGTGTGTTATTTTAGGTTTTTTACTTAAATTTAACTCTTGAGTAGTGAGTTCAAAAATGTCTATCCTGTCATAGCTGAAATAATTATCCCTATGGTAATTAAAAAAAACTCTTAAGTTTTTGGTTTCTAGTGGTAGTGCAAATTACTTCAATATCATGCAAACAAATTCATTCCTTCTAATTTTTTCCATCCATGGGCAGAACACTGGCATCTCCTGGAATCAGGCTCAATTTTCTGGAGGCTCCTGCAGCCAAACTGGCTGCTAACATTCCAACAATACATTGGAACGAAGCCCAATTTCCCCCTGCGCTGCCCCTGAAGCGGCTAGTTCACCCCAGCAGCTTCCGAAAGAGGTTGGGAAGGGGCATTCACACACTGCCCTTGCCTTCAGGCACTGTCCTGCAGCTTCCTTTCAGCCAGGATCAGGAACCACAGCCAATGTGTGAGGGCAGTACCTGTAGACAAAGGGAAGCTAACAGACACTTGCCCCTCTAGCTGCAGAGCTGCTGCTGGACAAGCCAGCTGCTTTTGGCAGTGGCACAGGGTCAGGGCAGGCTTAGCCACATCAAGCCACCACCCAGGAACTGCCTGAGGTAAGTGGTATCTCAGGCCTGAGCCTCACTCCTGAACCCAAAGTCCCTCCCAGAACCTGTGCCCCCAAACCTTTGCCTCAGGCTCAGCTTAGGCTCCCTCCCACATTCTGAACACCTCAGTCCAAGATCAGAGCTTGCCCTCCAATCCCCTGCCAGCCTGGTGAAAGTGAGTGAGGATGGGAATGGGGAGATGAGGACGGGGAGAAGAGGGCCTTGAAGAAAGAAGGGATGTAAAAAGGTTAACCAGTAGGAGGTAGAGCCTCAGGCAGGGTTTGGTTCCAGCCCTGCAGGGCCCAGCCCCCCCAGGGCAGCCCCTATCCATGGCAGGCCTGGCCACTCCCCCTGCAAGTTGCCTCCCCAGGAACAACCCTGCTGCTGCAACAAAGCCTCTTTCTGGCCAGGGGAAGCTTAAAATATAAAGCTTAAATACTAGCTTTATACGGCAGACCCCACAGCGCAGGCAGTCACTATGATTTTTAGCAGTTACATTTTTGCATCCCCAAGAAGGAGATGGGTCAAGAGTATCTGGGTATGAGGTAGCTCCTGGAATGCACTTAAATTTAATCTTTCTAAGCACAGGACCACTTACCTAGATATTTTAGGCTTAAGGACCCCCTCTCCCCCCCGCTTTACATCCCTAATTTGGGCTTTCACATGGTTGTAAAGGGTTAATCCTTACCATCATACTTACTTAATCGGCACCCCACCTGGCCAGAGCAGCCCACAATGTGCTCCAGCACCCCCACCTCTATCTGTAGTGCGATGGGCCAGTTAAACAGTTTAACTGGTTAACATTTTTAATGGGATTTTACATCCCTACTACAGATTATCTTTATTTTCTGAACATTTTGTATTTAACTAAACATATGTTTAGCACTGTGTTCACATACTTGACGTGCCAGAGCTTTTCCAATAGTAAAATGGGACAGGACTAATGTGCTCTATCTAGAATTGACTTTATGGACAAATGCCAGGTTTGCCCCCCACCCTCCCCAAGAACCACTTTATCAGTATGCAAAGACACTATCGGCACTCTCTCCTTAGAGTGTAAATTCCAATATTTGTTTGGCTGACCTGACTAACTAAAATCTTGCAGGGGACATACAAAGATACAGCCTTTATGAGAATTAGGAGAGATTGTAAGAGGACATTTAGCATGATACAGACATCTCAAAGTGGAATCGTGTGTCTCTGCTGAAGATACAAGAGAGGATGCTTGAGTAAACTCTAGACCTGAAGTGGAAGTTTTTCCTAGTGGACATTTCCAGTGCCCTGGATATGTGATACACAAGTGTAAGTTGGGCACCTTCAAACTCCTAGTGATACTATTGTGAAGGAAAACTATTCACAACT